ACACACACACACACACACACACACACACACACACACACACACACACACACACACTAAAACAAGACATGGCTTACTGCGCAAACATTACTTGGTGGGTTGATTTAAAATTAAAAAGTAATCAAACATCATGATTTGTAGAATGAAATGTGCACAGGATATTCTCCTTACAAACTCTAAAATCACATGTAGACCATTCACGTTTGTCAGGAAAAAAAGATGGCGTCACTGGAAACACTATTGTAAATGCACAAATTAAAATTTATACCGTTATACTGACCCAATGTTTTCTATTAACTGATTTGGGTTAAACTTTCCTTTAGGATTGTAGATGAGSTTTTACATAAACAACTAAGCTATAAATCTGCTTCTTGAGCTTGTTGACTTTACACAATACCAATGGCATTTTCATAGCAACCTCAGCACTTTCTTGGTTAACCTGTGACAGCACACGATGGGCTGGACGCTGTGAAGACCGCTTCCTCTCCGAGTCACATCAGAGGAGCAGGAGCTAAGAGACGCTGCAAACTCCAGACACTCAGAAGTGAGGTGGGAGTTTATCCAAGATTTTGTTGTTGTGTGTGCAGAATCAGAAATTCCTTTGAAAATGAAAAAACTGTTGGTTTTTTTGATAAAGCACTGTAAACAGTGTGTGTGTGTCCCCTTCCATAACATAATTAAATGTGATTATATCTAATTCAGTTAGCAAGTGTGCACAAATTGTTGTTGTTTGTAGGTTTTATGTTTCTTTATGACATATTTAACGCTAAGTTAATTTTTAAAACATTTTTATTTTACAAAAGATAACTTTAATGTGTTTTACACATAAAAATGTTTTTCTTTTTTCTTTGTAAGTATTTTTAACACCTTTCAAAAACAATTAAATATTCTACTGAACCACAGCTTTTTTTTATAGTTGTGAAAGTGAAATAACATTATTTTTTGATTTTTTTGTGGCTATTTATTTGTTTAATTATTGTTCAGTCTTTTTATAATTACAAGTTTTAGGCTAATAAATATGGTTACAATAAAAATGTAGGATTTGGGGGAATAATAGAATTTGGAAAATAAAACTGATTAAACATTATTAAACTGGCCAGTTTTATAAAATACAACAAAAGAGAAATCTATTACAACTAAATAGTCATTTTAAGAAAATAAAATATGTTTACAAGTTATAACTCGTGTTCTACTTTTACAACACAATTTAAAAACTGGTTTAAAGTTTGAAGTCTCTACTTTTGACTGAAACTGAAACAGAGTCTCAGAGAAAGACATTTTTAACAAACTAATGCTACCTTTTCTTCACAAGAAGCTGGTTTTTCAATGTCTTCTTGTGTCTCAAAATCATCCGTGGTGGTTTTGATACCCTTGTAGACTGTCTTCCAGACTTTAATATCCATAAATAAAAAACAACTCTGTTTCTGCCACTTTATTTCCTTGAGTCCACAGCACTGCARCCAGTGTCTGAGGAGGGGGACAGGAGACTACAATGGTGGTTTTCGCAGGTTTCCTGTGCCACATGATCATGTGGTGTACCATGGATGTCCCTTAATATACTACAGTGGCCTGGAGGTGCAAAACAACATTACAAAATCTGAAATACTTTTATAGTCTAGTAATGACTTATAAAAGTGTTTTGTATGTTGATAATTTGTTTCCTAAAATGTCAATTTGTTTTGGAAATTGTAGAAGTGTTCTGAGTCTTGTTAATTTGTTTACTAGTGTGTATTTTGCTTTCTAAAATGCAAATTTGTTTCAGGACATGTAAAAATATTTCAGATTTTGTAATGTTGTTTTGCACCTCCAGGCCACCGTAGTTATTACGGTACATCACATGATCACGTGGCACAGGAAGCTCGCAAAACCACTGTAGTCTGTTGTCCCTGTGGCCCTAATCTTCTTTTGTGTTCTGTAGATTCAATTTTGAAAACAAAAGTTCCTACCAATATTTGTAGCATTATAATATCTTATCTCAACCAGTATTTACTAAACATCATCTCATTTTGCTGAGACTTTCCACCAATAGAGCAGCTTTTAGCATTAATCTTCAACCTGCTGAGTAAACTGCAAATTCTAGAGCAGCTGAGGCGCAACGGAAAAGACATTATGAAATATATAGAGCTAAAAAACAAAATTAACAAACAGAAATTACCACTACGATCAAACTAAAATGGGTACAAACCRCCAATTGGTGCATTTCTGCAGTGATGGTTATATTTTAGCTGGTAACAACTTGTTCTGACCCAATCTTTTTTGTTGGTGAAAAATGTTACTCTGTAAAAGGTTTGAAATTATTGGTTGGCAAAAAGCAATCAAAACATGGAAGTGAATAGCTAAATCTGTTAAAACTGAGTTGGATCTGCTAAAACATCTGTCTATAAAGACAAAAAATTCACTTTATCTGATAAACCCAGATTACCTTGTTCCAGGCTGAAGACAGAAAGTAGCCGGTTAAGAAAAGTAATAAAACCAACTGTTTGACTTTGTGGTGGCAGTTTCATAAAAGATTTTTCAACCCATTCCTCTTTTGCCTCAGAAAGTAGTTATTGGATGCACATCAACACAACAAATTTTGCCTTACTAAACACAAATAAGTCTCAAACTCAGTCAGTTTTAMAGAAATTAAGCCAAAGATTGAAGCTGGGAGTCGTGCCAAACATATTCCAAGACTGAACATGGCTGCATGTTGTTTTTTGTTTTTACCTTGCTTCAGGGGAAGAAAGATCGACAGGTTTGGCAGCTGTTTGATGCAGTTTTTGACTCAATCTGTTTTTCGAACCTGCAACCTCAGTGTRACAGCACTGACCACAGAGCTACTAAAGCCGATGCTGGTTTTACCTAAGAATAAAATCTAAATAACCAACTGTGCATTCTAACAATATGCTAAACATCACCCCCATCATCATAMAATAAAAGRTTTKGATTTTTGGTTTAACTCWGCTTTCCCCAAAATGGAACTTGACATTCATGATCTTTGTGATATTGTATGTGTCACAGGTCAATCTTACAAATGAGACTACACGTCTCAATGAGATTACCTGCCTAAGTAATAAAATAAATAATAAAAAAGATGATGTCACTGCACAAGTTCTAGCAGATCTGTGTCATAATCAGACGGTGTTACTGCTTGAGAAAATGTGGTCTAGATGCCATGTTGGGAGAAAAGCTCAGGTGAGTAAACACAAAGGATAGAGTCAACACTAAAAATCATTTGTGTTCATTCAAACTTTATGATCAACTTTTGAATGAAATGAACAAATACTGCAGATAAAATTTATTGATCTAAGTCATTCCTCATTTAAGGTTCTTTATCCTCCAYCAGGGAGACATCCTGTCTGTGCTAAACGGCTCTTTGACAGGGATCCTGATCTGCAGCAGTTTGTTTCATAGAGCTGTTCCAAAGAGCCATTCGAGTTTGAACACAGGAGTGATTGTCTGTGTTTTAAAGGATGAAAAAAATAAATATTACATGAGCAATAAAAAAATAAAACTATAAACAGCTTATTACTGCCCCTGACTTGGCTACTAATTTTCATTGTAATGAACTGTTCAAAAGATTCGGATCATTCGTGAACAACACAACTCGAGTGCTAACTAATGATGTCAGTCAAATCAGTCAAAGCAATCTTTAAGCGTGAGCGACTTGGTCTTTGCAAAATCAGTGCAGCATAGACAGGTTGCTAAATGGATCAAGAAGCAAAATTTAAAGTGTGTGTGTGTGTGTGTGTGTGTGTGTGTGTGTGT